TTCAGCAGTCTGACAGCTGCAGGGAAGAAACTGTTTCTGAGTCTGGTGGTCTTGCTCTGAATGCTCCTCAGCAGCTTGTTTGAGGGGAGAGGCTGGAACAGACTGTGTATAGGATTAATTTATGGTTTTACCTTGGATTCAGGAGGAACAATGTGGGTTCCATCCTGGCTGTGGAACACCAATTCTTTATCCTCTCTAGGGTCCTCACAAGGTCATGGGAGCTTGGCAATTCAGTCTACATGTGTTTTGTGGACTTGGAAGGGGCATCTGACTGTGCTCTTCAAAGTACACTGGCGGGATGCTCCACAAGTATGCAATTGGGGGTCCATTGCTATGGGCCCTTCAGTCCCTATACAAGTGGTGTGTCAGAGATCTGATGGGACAGGCAAAAAGCGTGGTCGAGGGAAACAGGCGTGGATCAAGATTAAAGAGCTGTGAACAAAGAGAGTACGCTGGATAACTGTGGCTGGAAGCAAGCAGTTGATCTGGCAATGTAGTGGAGAAAGCAGGAAGTATATATACACCCAGAAACAGGTGGAAACCATCAGCAGTAATCAGAGGGAGAGGTGTGGCATGTAAAGAGGCTGGTAGAAGCAAAAGAGGAAAAACCCAGTAGAACACAGAAGAATAAGTCAAACAGTGAACAGAGTGATGAGAAAAGGAAAAAACAGAGTGTAAACTGTGACATGGTGTGAAAGTTTGGTTTGTATTGCCAGCAATAAGTTGGATGCCTTAAGGGTGGAAGTTTGACTCTGCCAGGGCTACCTTTTGCCACCAATTCTGATCATAACTTTCATGGACAGAATTTCTCGGTGCAACCAGGGAGTGGAGTTTGTAAGTTTGTTGGCCTCAGGATTCCATCTCTGCTATTTGCAGATGATGTGGTCTTGTTGGTATCATAGTGCCGTGATCTTCAGCTCTCACTGGAGCGGTTCTCAGTCGAGTGTGAAGCAGCTGAGATGAGGATCAGCACCTCCAATTCTTAGGCCATGGTCCTTAGTCAGAAAACCGTGGATTGTTCTCTTTGTGTCCAAGGGTAAGGTTCTGTTCCAAGTGGAGGAGTTGCAGTATCTTGGGGTTTTGTTCACGAGGGAGGAAAGGATGGAGTATGAGATTGACAGATGGATTGGTACAGCATATTGCGGACTCTGTACCAGTGCATTGTGATAAAGAGGAAGCCGAGCTGTAAAGTGAAGCTCTCTTTTTACCATTTGGTCTATGTTCCTTCCCTCACCTATGACCACAAAATCTGAGTAGTGACCGAAAGAACAAGATCACGGATACAGGCGGTCAAAATGATTTTCCACAGGGTAGGTGGACTCTCCCTTTGAAGTAGGATGAGAAGTTCAGTTATCTGGGAGAGACTTGGAGTAGGACCACTGCTCCTCCACATCAAGGGCAGCCAGTTGAGGTGGTTCAGACATCTGGTAAGGATGCCGCCTTGTTACCTCTCTATGTGCTCAGGGCATGTCTGAATGGGAGGAGACCCCGGAGAAGACCCAGGACACAATGGAGAGTTGCCTCTTGGTTGGCCTGGAAACGCCTTGGTGTCCTCCCAGATGAGCTAGAAAAGGTGGCTGTGGAAAAAGATGTCTGGACCTCTCTACTTAAGCTGCTGCCCCCATGTCCCGACTTCAGAACAAGCAGAAGATCATGATAGACGGACAGACAGACAGGAAAATAAACTTTGCACACAATTTATGTTGAGTTTCCTGGAAAACAGTGCATACTTTTGGTTGTTTTGCTTCATTAATTGTTATAAGCCAAAACCATATTTCAGTTGACTTTTGTAAGAACAAAAGATGGTTTCTGGATCATCATCAATAACAACTTTATTTATAAAGCACTTTAACACCAGCCACAGCTGAAACAAAGTGCTGAACAGAATCAGAATAAACTTTATTGGCATTGCACTGAGATACAACGCGAATATGTACGTACAGTCGTCCGAAGATGGGCGGAGTGCACGAAGTTGCGGCTATAAATAATTAGCGTGGCCTTCTTATTCTTATTCAGAATAATATTTTGCTTAGATAAGAAAAGGAAAGAAAACATGAGGAGAGACGGTATAAAAAAAAAGATCTCTCACACCGTGTCATAGACAGGGCACAATTTGAGGCATCAAAAAAACCTACCACAGCAAAGCAACATAAACAGACGTTATACATTTACATATAGGCGGTGAAAACATTGAATTTTTAAGGG